GAAAAGAGAAGGGGTTTACTAGGCAAGGCTGCCATGCAGAGGAAGGCAGAGACAGTCCTCGACTTACGACAACAATTGAGCCCCAAATTTTGGTTGCTAAGCAAGAGGACTGTTAAAGTGAGTTTCGAATTCCAGCCTCCCGTGGCAAAGCACCCACAACTTCTGAAGGCAAGCCCTTCCACTGATTAACTGTCCTCCCTGTTAGGAAGTTTCTCTGCGCAAGTTGAAAGGAGCCTGGATAGCTCAACAGACAGAAGCACTGTAATTTAACACCAGCTGCCTGCAATTACTGTAAGTTCGAATCTCGCCAAGGCTCAAGGTTGACTCAGCCTTCCATCCTTTCTAAGGTAGGTAAATTGAGGACCCGGATTGTGGGGGCGATAAGCTGACTTTGTATAAATATAAAAAAGGATGAAGGCTATTGCTTAACGCATTGTAAGCCGCCCTGAGTCTCCGGAGAAGGGCGGCATATAAATCAAATTAAAAAAAAAAAAAGGATGTCCAGAAGACAAGACAGTCATCAAGATACCAAAGGTGGCAGGGAGATGAAATGATCGAAGGTCCAATATACAATCCGGGGTGGAAGTGTGTGCGTCTTTGTGCCTGCCTCTGTGTTTTGCAACTCTGCTTGAAGCCAAAGCAGCGAGATGGATGAAGCAGTGCCCTTCACACAGGCTGGGGAAACGAGATCTTTAGGCAGGTAAGTAGCAACATCCCTCTTGGTGAGCGACCGCACTTTTGGTCTCCTTTTTGCGACCTTCTGAGAAACAAACTCGACGGGGAAGCCGGATTCATTGAAGAGCTGCGTCACTCCCTTAACTGCAGGGATTCACTTAACAACTATGGTGAGAAAGGTCATATAATGGGGCACTGAACGACGGTCTTGCTGAGCAACTGAAATTTTGGGCTCAATTGTGGTTGTAAGTCGAGGTAGTCTTCTAGCAGAGCTATTCCGAGATACATTTGATCCAACAGCACTGCACAAATATCTTTGCCGCGCACAGCAAGATCTTATCCGTTATTTACCCGTTCAGCTAATGGCCTGTTTTTCTATTCAAGCACGTAAAAGAGGCTAGCAAAGTTTAAAACATACGGGAGGAGAAGAAAAGGGAGTCCTCCTCAGGCCTCTTGTGAAGTGAAAACAAGGCCTGTAGCGTAGCTGCGACGGATACACGAGATCCATGAAAGCCAACTGTACAAGAACACGGGGAGACAGTCTGGTTTGTTTCAGGAACCTGTCACTCTGCAAGACAGGCTGTTTCCCTCTTCCGAAAACTCAGGCTATGCTTGCAGCCCAGCTCCCTCTCTCTCTCCCCCCCCGTGGAGGTCAGCTTCCTCCTTCAAGCCAACAAAAGCAAACCGCTCGCCGGCTGATCGGAAAGTGATCGCGGCGGCGCTGCTGAGAACACAAACAGCTTCTTTTCATTCTCACAGAGATCTTGACCTCGAGAAGGAAAACTCTGCAGTGTTTTCTCCCCTGAACAACCATTCGGGTCCCTCTCTCGCCTGCAAAAGGCCTATTTATTTTTTTCTTATCTTTCTTTTCTTTTTTTTTTTTGGCCTTGTTCCGACAGCCGAGACCTCAATCTGACATTTGCCCCCTTTTACAAAAGAAACAAATAAAGCCTGAGTATTAGTTCATACTTCTTTTTTTTTTTTGCCACACTGAGAACTAGAGATTCTAGTTCTGAGGCTAGATGCAGGAAGTATTTTTTTTTGGGGGGGGGGGGGTTTATGGAGGTTGGTTGTTGTTGTTTTTGCAAGGACTAGAAACCTGGCCCACATGCACCACTGTTGGTTTGGGTGCGATTTCCTGAAAGAAGAGTAAAATTTTCTTTTGTGCCCTCTCGAATGCTGTAACAGATAACAATAGTGTGATTTCTCCTATTTCAGAGAATTGTTTTCATCACAGGCCGGCCTTCCTTCTTTCCTTCCCCTCCATTCCTCCTTCTGCCCTTCCTTCTGCTCCCCCTTCCTCCCTTCTTCCTTCTTTCCTTCCCCTCCATCCCTCTTTCTGCCCTTCCTCCCTCCCCCACTCCCCTTCCTCCTAATGCATTTCTGCTTTTCTGCCATATTTCCAATTCTTGCACGACTCAGGATACTTGGCGGTTATTCAGCTATGACTCTTAGGAATTCCCCCTTGCACGCATGAAAAATTCATCGCTTCATACCTTCCCATTAATGGCTGCCAAAAACTTGGCAAGGAAGGCTTAACCACAGTTGTGGGAATGGATCCGAAGGTCCCGATCACCACCAGAGTTAAAAGGTACCATACTCAAAGCTAGCGTGGGGCCATTTCTGGATGCTTTCAGGGTACGAATGGTGACCCAACAATCCAGCTGGTCCTGTTGTCATCACAAACTACCATCCTTCAAGAGCAGAAGAGCAGTCCAGAGTTATACAGGCATGTATGAACCGACTCCAATTATCCCGACCAATCTGGGAGCCTCATTTAATCGGAGCTCAGCATCAAACTCTTGTAGGCTGTGAGTTCCTACAAAGAAAGAGAGCCATCCCAGGGATGTTTAAGCTGTTGGACTCAATAGCCTAAGGAACTCTTCCTAGGGATGTACAGTAGCGGCCAAAATTGTGGAAACCTTTTGGGGAAAATGTGTTTTCTAAAACTTAGCTAATAACATCACTTTTTTTGGAGTAGTACCATAAAATTGTATATCAATGGAAAGATAAGAATTTAAAGGCACAGTACTTCCTCAGTCCCTATAATTGAAGAATGATAGAATCCCACAGATGAATTGCGTAGCATCGCCATGGAAAAAATGAGATACACAAAGATTATCACCGTGTCAGTCAATCCTGAGTTGGGTCACCTTTAGCATGAATGACGGCCTTACGATGTCTTCCCATGGAGGGAACCAAGTCTTTTAGTTCTGCAGCTGTTCTAATGTGGAACCAAGATTGAAGGATGGCTTCTATTAACTGGGTTTTATTGCTGGGTCGCTTCTGACTTAACAAGTTTCTTTAGTCGGCTCCATAGATTTTCAATGGGGTTAAGGTCTGGGCTATTCCCAGGTCATTCCAGCAGTGGAACAGGATTATCTTGAAACTCCAAAAAAGAAAAAGTGGTGTTATTAGGCACCAAACCTCAAAAATATACTTTTCCCAAAAGGTTCCCACAATTTTGGCCACTACTATATTACAAGTAATCCTCGACATACGACTACAATGGAGCCCAAAATTTCCATCATTCAGCAAGACAGTTAAATGAATTTTGGCACCATTTTTTTCTTGCCCACCGTTGTTAAGGGAATGACTGCAGCGGTTAGTCACACGGTCTAAATTAAGCGAACCTGAGTTGCCCCTTGACTCTGCTTGTCCTGTATGATCAGTTAAAAAGGGCACGACGGAAGCAAAGACACGGGGAGAGAGAAAGTGAATAGCAACGGCATAAATTCACATGTGACATTTTCTCTCTCTTTTTTTCCACCTCTTGCTTTTCCTTTTCTTACAATGTCTTACTCTCTCGCCTCTTCGCGTGATGCCTCTCGTCCCAGAAGGGAAGATGCCAGATTGATATGTACGTACTGAGGCATGTAAACAGCCACACGCTTGGCTGCCGGTGTCAGCCGAGAACTTTTCATATCTATTTCTAAATCAGAACTAAACCCAAAAGCAGAGAAGGAAACGGCAAATAAACCAGGCAAGACGTATCGCCCGCACCTCTCAAGGCAGAAATATAAAAATTCAACCTGATTATTCGGGAAATGCTATTAAAATATCAAGCTAACGTTTTCTGGGAAAAGCCAAATTTTAATGAAATGTTCTGGTCTGGTGAACGGATCTACGAATTAAGTGCTCCCCACCCCCTGTGATGGGATTCAAATAATTTAACAACCAGTTCTCTGCCCTAATGATTTCTTCCAACAACCAGTTCACCAAAGTGCTCAGAAAGTTAACAACCGGTTCGCCCGAAGTCGTGCAAACTGGCTGAATCCCACCACTGCCCCCCCCCTCTTAATTCACAACGACACAACAGCATGGGCTGGGACTCAAGCTTATCGTCCATCCTGGTCTCTTAGCCACAATTAAAAGACCGATCAACATTCATGGTTAGCTGGCCTCCAGGTACAGACCGGTATGCCAGCCTAAAAAGCTACAGCTAGTCCTCGACTTATGATCACGTTGGACGGTGGTTGTTATGTGAGCTGCGCCTGGTTTTTACAGCTTTTTCACACACACCGACGACTTTTAAACAAATCAGTGCAGTTGTTAAGGGAATCCGGCAGTCGTTTCTCCCATTGGCTCTGCTTGTCAGGAGGTCGCAAAAGGGGATCACAGGACCCCCCCTGGGACACTGCGACTGTCATAAATATGAGACAACTGCCAAACAGCTGAATCTGAATCATGTGACCATGGGGACGCTGCAATGGTTGTTAAGTGTGAAGAAAGGTCATAAGTCGCTTTTTTTCTGACCTCGAAAGGCCACTAAATGAACTGTTGTAAATCGAGGACTACCTGTATAACAAGTGTCTGTGGAGATTCTCAGTCATCCAAGTCGTGGTTGTCTCTCTAAGGTGCTTTTTCAAAAGACAACTCCAAAGGAGGAGGAGGAAGAAGAGGAAAAAGAGGAGGAGGAGGAGGAGGAGGAAGAGGAAAAGGAGGAGGAAGAGGAAGAGGAAGAAGAACAGGAAGGAAGAAGGAGGAAGTAGGGAGGAGGAGGAAGAGGAAGAGGAAGAGGAGGAGGAGGAAGAAGAAGGAGAAGAAGAAGGAGAAGGAGAAGGAGAAGGAGAAGAAGAAGGCAACATTTCGCTTCTCATCCAAGAAGCTTCATTGCTTCTTCATTCTGCCAGAACCAATGAAGCTTCTTGGATGAGAAGCGAACCCTCTTCCTCTTCCTCAAGGAAGAAATAGTCCAGTTGCCTTTTGAAAAAGCACCTTTGAGAATATAACAAGGAAAGTCACAAATTCCTTGGCTCAGGGACTCTCATTCGCACACACACAAAATGTGTTATAAGAGCTGAGTCTCTCTCTCTCTTTCTCACCTCCCGGCCGGTAGACAACATCGTCCTCGGTGATGAACGAGGTGATCTCCCCATTGTCGGTCCTCTCGTAGCGCGACTTCTTCTTGGGCGGCTTCTTTTTGTTCTTCTTGGTGGACTCCTCGGTGGTGGCGCTGTTGTTGTCATTGTCCTCGTCTTCGCTGTGGTCGCTCTCGGCGTAGTTCTTGGCGCCGCCTTCCAGGGTGCAGCTCCGGCGGGGCCGCGAGTTCTCGCTTTCCCGTTGTCCCTTGTCCCGTTTGTCTCGATCCCGGTCTTTCTCTTTCTCTTTGTCCTTCTCTTTGTCCGCTGTCATGATGCGCCAGGTGCCTTCTTCCGTCCTCTCACGGCTCGGCCTCCGTGAAAGGTAGACAGTCAGCCTGGGCTTCAGTCTTCTGAATTTCGCACTCCACTCCAGGAAAAATTGGACCACGCCGGTAACCCCAGTGTTTTAAAAAAAGGCCCTGGAGAAGGAGAGAAACAAAGAGAAAGGCTACGTTAGCCAACGATGACCCTGCGGCATTCACCTGCGACAAATTCTCTGCTGGTCAAACTGTCGGCAGGGTGTCAGGCAGCCTAAATACGCATCACCCATGTAAGTGGGAAGTTAATGGAAGGATTGGGTGAGCCCCATTGTCTTCCAAACTCACCGAATCTTAAGGGGGAAAGAAACTTGGACCTCATCAAACGTTTTGTGACATGTACTGGAGGAAGTTTGAAGGCGCTATTTTTTCATCGCGTTCCTAGGAACAAAGTTTTCCTGGTTTTTTTTTTTAAATAAAAGCCGCAGGAAAACAAGACACCCTTGGGGTAACTAATCTTTGTGCTTCAAATCCAAATGTGGAGCTCAAAGGGAATACGGACTGCGGGATGTACGCTAATCTGCCACACATTTTTTTTTTATGTGCATGGAAAAACATCTGGTGAGACGAAAAAGAAAGGGGGGGGAGAGGAAGGAGTTTCAACTGTCCTTTCCTGGGGAACAAAACTGTGGCCATCCATCCTAACCAGTTCCATCAGATGGCCTGCAAGGAAACCATCTGGTCTCATTAATGGTTATTTGTTTTCTCCATCTGAAGCTCAACCTGGCCATGCCTTCGCCCCCAAGATTGGGGACATACAGTATATCACAGAGGGGGCGTGGTTTCACTTCCTTGTCTGCATCCCGCGGATGGGGCTCCGCTTGTTTGCACGGTCCGGTTGCTGGCATGCCGCGGCCTGGTGCTAGTGCACAGACCGGAGGTTGGGGACCCCTGTTCTAGCAGGAATATTGAGGCTGCTCAGCCCCAAAGAAAGCCCCTGAGTCAACGTCTCTGACGTCACAAAATTCGGCACCTGGGACGCCATCTAAGTAATGGCATGTACGGGCCAAGGGCCTTTTACATCAAAGCCTAATACCATCCCACTCACTTTCTGACAATGACTTTTCCAGCACCCTAATAAATTTCTATTCTTTCTCTCGGAGAGGACATGCCCTAACTAACCAGATATAATGTGGTTAAGAGGCTCAGCCACAAATCTGTCTCCTCTTGCCCCACACTGGAACCATCTTCTTAAGTCTTTGCAATCAATTCCCTTGTTTTAATTAAAAAAAAAAAAAAAGAGGGAGGGAGGGAGGGAGGGACAAAAGGCATTCTTCATAAGCTTCCACCTAGGCGTACAGGGCTTTACAAAGGGCACGTCGGTTCGTTCAGGAGCCCCGCCATCTAAACCAAGACACAGCTAAATGGCGGCGAAGCACTAGATCGGGGATCCTCAAACTTTTTAAACAGGGGGCCAATTCACGGTCCCTCAGACTGTTCGGGGGCCAGGCCAGCTGGATGGGCGTGGCTAGGTGGCCATGTGAATGAGTGGGCGTGGCCAATTTAGCAGTCTAAAGAATACACACAAATTAAAGTTTAATTTGTTAAGCTCCCGAGGGTGGAAAGCAGGATAGTGAAGGGATGTGGCTGCCTTGGGGTGTGTATGAGAGACTTGTGTTTGTGTGTGTGTGTGTGTGTGTGTGTGTCTCCACTAGTATCTCTCTGCCGCCATTTCTGGCCCCCGGGCCATAGTTTGAAGACCCCTGCACTAGATCCAAAGCAAGCTTCAGCTCCTGCATTTGCAGCTAATGGAAATCAATTGCCAGTCCGTCTTAGAGGATTATTCAGAGAATTAGAATCCATGCGAAGCCATTAAAAAAAATATACATCAGGACTCAAGAGGCTGGTCGATACCTGCAGTTAAGCCACTGCTGTCTACCCTCACTGCAGCGGTGAAATCTGGCTGGATCTATCTGGCTCGTGCGAACTGGTAGGGCCAGCGGCGAGAGGCTCCGCCCACCCACCAGGATGTCATTACGTCCCTTTTTTGACCCTCTGTGCATGAATAGAAGAGGCGCGCACGCTCACATTTCTGAACCGGTAGCGAAGGTAAGTGCATTTCACCGCTGCCTCACTGGAAGAAAATGCACAGCTATCCTATGACCGGATCTCGGATCCAGATCTCCTGTGTGTGTCCGATCCTTTCCAAAGGAAAGACTCCAAATCCGGAGCCTTCTTCCAGGTAAATGGGTGGGCTCAACGCATTGTATGAAGTCATATGTGGTTTGTTTGATGGGGGGTGGGGCTCCGTGGGAAGCAGCCTGGATAGTTTACATGGCTGCTATTTACAATCTGAATTAGGCCTCCCAGGTTTGTTTAGGAAACAAGTTCTTAAGACAAGCCAGGGCCTTTTTTTTTTTTTTGCAAAATGAGCAAACTAGGCCAGAGTATGTTACACACACACACACACACACACACGTTCTCTATCACACGCAAACCCCACAGAGATTGTAAAGGCAACCACAGCTACACAGAGGCAAGCCTACCATGTTTATCCAAAAATAAGACCCTGTCTTGTGCTTTTTTGAACCCCGGAATAAGCACTTGGCCTTATTTTCGGGGAGGTCTTATTATTTTGGGGTGCGTGGAGGAAACCAGAGGAAATGGCGGGGACCTGCTGTGCATGTGTTTAAATATTTTCAGGGAGGGCTTATTTTCACGGGGGGCTTAGTTTAGTGCATGCGCTCAAAAGCCCGATTGGGCTTATTATCAGGGGATGTCTTATTTTAGGGGAAACAGAGTAGTGGTTTTATAAAAAAAATCCTAGGGGAAAGAGACTCTCTATGACGTCGTCATCCCGGAAACACCCATTTCAAGAGGCCGATATATTTGCAGCATGGAAGGGTCAGGGATGGCAATAAGTAGCTTTGAAGATCAAAATCTGCTCCTTTCAGAACTTAATCATCTTCTTTTTAAAAAAGAAAAGGGGAGGGTGAGCAGCTAATGAATTCTTAAGACCTGGTTGACTTTATTCCCAACAACGGTAACCTTCAAAATGATAAATTGACTTTGCTGTCATAGCCTGAGATTCAAGGTTTTTCTCCGTTTACACACACCCCTGGTATTTTTTTTCCCCCCAGATGGAGGCAAACAGCTCAGGAAGAGATTAAACAGCTCTAGAAAATGATGTCCTAACGCGGCGACACAAAGACGCACACATACGACAACGAAGAGTCTACACCACACAAAGATTGTTCTGGTACTAGAGGCTTTGCGTAAGCAGAGTGAGCGAACTGGAGAAGCTTCTTAGATGAAAAGCAAAACATTTAAAAAAAAAAACCAAGCCAAGAAAGTCCACTTGACTTTTCAAAAGCAACTTTGAGACTCCTGGATGACTGAGAATCTCTACAGATTTTTAGCAATACAATTTGGGATGAACGCTCTTCCAATGGCGTGGGAGTAGGAATGGATTTCCAGAGGGAAAAATTGCAGACCACAGCACTACTCAGGTGACCCTGAGGACACAGATAAATCTCCAAGTGCTTCAGCGACCTCTAAAAAGGATGCAAAGGACCAGCGGTCTGCAAGGAGTATAAATCCTTCCTTTCCCCACCATCCAGTCAGAGCTGAAGAAGCTTCTTGGATGAGAAGCGAAACGTCTTCAAAGAAAAAACAAAGTACAGTTGCCTTCTGAAAAAGCATCTTTGAGACAACTACAACCTGGATGATGGAGAATCTCCACAGGCGCTAGAAAACAAAAAGAGTTCCATGTTTTGATTTCTGACATGCCACATCAGAAGACGATTGATGCCCCAGTGCCCAAAAAACCCAGGTGAGACTAGTAAATGGATACCGAATATGCACCCATGCCGGCTCTAGCAGCCAGCGTGCTTCTTTTCGGCAGGAAATCTGATGGGAGACGAGAAATCCAACCCTCCAGAGATATCGTGATGCGGTAACTACTCCAACTTTCCTCTTTTTTTTGTCAAACTTCTTGGAAGTCCGGAAATCCCTTGCCTGATTTGCAAGTGGCCTGATTTGCAAGAGGGATCTTGGAGTCTTAGTGGACAACTAGCTAAATATGAGCCAGGAGTGTGCAGCGGCAACCAAAAAAGCCAATGCAATCCTAAATTGCATTAACAGAAGGATACAATCAAGATCAAGGGAGATACTAATACTACTCTATAAAGCCTTAGTAAGGCCCCACCTAGAGTACTGCATCCAGTTTTGGTCACCACACTATAAAAAAGATGTCGAGACTCTGGAAAGAGTGCAGAGAAGAGCAACCAGGATGATTAGGGGACTGGAGGCTCAAACATACGATGAATGGTTGCAGGAACTGAGTTATGTCTAGTTTAGTGAAGAGAAGGACCAGGGGAGACATGATAGCATCTTCCAATATTTGAGGGGCTGCCACAGAGAGAAGGGGGATCCAGCTATTTTCCAAAGGCCAGACATGGAACAATGGATGGAAACTGATCAAGGAGAGATTCAACCTGGAAATACGGAGAAATTTTCTGACGGTGAGAACATTCAACCCGTGGAACAGAAGTTGCCTTCGGACGTTGTGGGAGCTTCATCCTTGGAGGCTTTCAAGAAGAGACTGGGCTGCCATTTGTCAGAGATGATGTAGGATCTCCTGCTTGGGCGGGGAGTGTTGGACTAGATGACCTACAAGATCCCTTCCAACTCTGTTAATCTGTAAACACGCAAGGAAGCCCACCAGGCCACAGAGCCTGGAACGGGAAGATCCTTACGACGAGCAACACGGCCCCAATGGCCGGAGTGTCGGCTTCAAAGCGACTGCGGTTGCTGGTTTAATCTTCACCAAAAGGTTCTAAGAAGGCAGACAGTGGGAGCGGCAGTGACTAATTAGAAATGTGACTGGACTGGACAGCTCTCTGGAATCCGTTTCAAGCAGACACCTTGCGTAAATATCAAGAGAGAAGAAAGTAGTTTCCCCTTCCAGGCAGCAGCAATGTCCATCCATCCTTCCGGAGACGGCTCGCCAAAGCCAAGCCGCTTCCTTTCTCCGTTCCCCCTCACCCGAGGCAGATGGCAGGATTTATCACCAAGATTAGACAAATTCTTTTATTTGTCCAACCAGCAACGGGCCTAGAGAGGGGCAAGTGGCAGTCGTGCCACCGCGCACAGAGAGACGACCAACGACACGCAGGGAAACATCAATTGCAACCCACAATATACTGGCTTGTTGTGGCTAGGAACTGGCCTGCGGGGCTGCCCTGGAAACAGTGAAGGACCGACCCGTGGTGCCTCTGCCAGCA